ATGGATGGATGGATGGATGGATGGATGGATGGATGGATGGATGGATGGATGGATGGATGGATGGATGGCTTCCTTATCTTCAGCTTTTCTGCCACCTCTAACCACATAGTTTCATGAGTCATTAATTCACAACTGTAACAAACACAGAACAAAGAGAACAGATGCTTTCACAAGTACTATATAAAATCCTTCCCTCGTTACAGAGGAAACATTTTTTCATATTATCTTAAAAAGATATATAATATCCAAACACATTGTCTTGAATTAGGCTTTTTCAAGAAGAGGAGGAAGTTCACATGTGATATTATTTTAGACTAAGGTCTTAGTATCTTAAGGAGAATGAAATAGTAGAGATATATTCGTGTGATACAGATTTGTTTCCAATTAACTACATAATAACTACATGATTGAAAGAACTAGACTGAGAAAAGAGACTTTATCTCCCCCAAGAGGTCCCTCTCCTCATCTGACCCCAGGACCCCGGGAACCTTTGACTCCCTCTCTATGTAGCACACAGGGAAATACCCTACCACTTCCCAGCATTATGAAAGAATGACCATATTGACTTAACAGTAAATCAAGCACATCAATCCATGGGGTACAGAGCTGTGCAAAATATAATGTCCTTACACATTTTTGGGGATATGTTTTATTATTCATAAAAGTTTCAGACTATTAATTATATTTTAATATGAGAAGGTTTTGGAAGAAGGTGAGAAGAGTGGTGAGAACCGCAGAGAAGATTATCGGGCTCCTCTCCCCTCCATAAAAGACATTTCATCCCAGCACTGTGTGTCCCGAGCCCATAACATCATCAATGGCCCCTCAGACCCCCACCATGGACTGTTCTCCCTGCTGCCCTCTGGGAAGAGGATCCGCAGCATTCAATACAGGACTAGCTGGTTCTGTAACAGCTTTTTCCCCACTGCTATCAGACTTTTAAACTGTTGTAAACTCAAGTCAAAAATCAAGACTCTGCATCACACATAATACTTGCAATACATGCTGAATCTTCAAAATAGAATTCAACTTAAATGTTTTTACTGCATTTCGCAGCATACCTATTTATTTATTTTTCTATGTCTCTCCCACACTGACCAATTTGATCACTGTTGGACTTTATTGTTCATTTTCCCTGCGAAACTGCTGCACATTCACTGTCTGAAATCTGTATAACTGAATTTATACAAAATAAATGACAATAAAGTTTGTCTAAGTCTAAATCTAAGTTTTATTTAAGTTGTTCTTGGAAATAAAGCTATATGTAATTCTTCCCTAAACTGGGTATAAAACCTTTGTCAACAGCAGCCACCATTAAGTGTTTATGCTAACTGGCTTTTAGAGTTCTTTTTTTGGCCATTTAGATTGGAACTTGCTGACATACATTGGATCATTGCTCTGCTACTTTATATTAGTGCAATCTAGCAGTTCCTGATCATCACACTGCAACAATGGCTTACTTTCTGTCTAATGTTATTTTTATGAAAAATCTTATTTTGTGTTGGATGAAACAGTTTCACTTTTGTCTTGTCAGTCAAAACCACAACAAAACTTTAGGTGTTTCTTATTGTTGCATAATGAATGCTGACAATAATTCAGCTAAATGGCCTGGAGAGACTAGGACTATTCCTATCATGCCTGTAGCTGAAAATAGTTGATGCCAAATAAATCCCAGTTAATTCATGATTTAAGAGAGGGGCAATACTGATAGACAGCCTTTAAACTTGATAAACACAGTCCCAATATAAAGACTGCTTTCTGTTTGAACGTTGGATCTTTCTGTCTGATACTGAAAAAAAAAACCTGAATAAAATCCATCGAATAGCTCTATTAGACATTAATTGACAGCTTATTTATCAGGTATTTAAAGGTTGATGAGTTTACCTTTTTACAACATAAACACGCCTGTAGAAGAGGTAGAAATAGATTGGTGTCAGAGTCTATATTTTGTATATTTATATATATATATTTTAAACTGAACTGATCTATGAACTCAAACTCTGTTAAATAATGCTCTTGGCCAGGGACTTTTAATATTCTGATAATCTAATTATCAAATAATCTGGGCTGTTATAGTTTGTCAAACTCACGTTTAAATACTGTAGCAAACAGCATTCGTAAACAATACCTGTCATTTAAAACTAAACTCCAGGGTTTTATTTTCAGGGATAACAGAACAAATCAAAGGATCTCAGTAAATGACTGTCTCCTTAGATCCTCTTAAAGGCTCAGACTACAACAGAGAAGGAACATTTCCTGGATGAAATGGTTATAGTTGGGAAATGGAGCACCATTAGGCTGGTTCTTAACATCTGGAAAACCAAATTGTTTTTTGTTTTTTTTCAAAGTTTTTATAGAACAAATTAGAAACCAGTTCAAGCAACAATCAAGTAAGCAACATCCCTGGTTTATCATCTTTATGGAAAAGCCTTTTTACAGTCCCATCCTCCACGGAGCATTGGGGTGACATTAAATGCATTCCTTCTTAGGAGAAGTTTTAAAGCAAAGATATAAAACACAGCAACGACATTAGCTTTTCCCACATTAATTAAATCCATCTACAACCTTCACTGATAAATATGATGATTAAATTCATGCATAATCTAATATTTGTCCCAAAGGTTTTTCCCAACATTCTCTTTTCAAACCGAACAACAATTTAATTAATCTAATTGCATTTAAAAGTAACTTCCCATTAATTTCGTTTGGAGTTTGATGTTTCTGTTGATGGTCTAATATGAAGCAGACTTCATGCTGTTAATCACTGAGGGATGAGGTCAGTGTGGGCGGAGCCTTACAGCAGCCATCAAAAAAGTGAAGCAGCTGTTGTTGGATGGAAACTTCTCATGACGCTGAAAACAACAACTGCTGCGACTGATTCTGCCACGGCGAC